AAGGACAATAATCGTTAGCTCTAATGTAAGGTCAGTGGGATTTGTAATGCAAAAACACTTTAACGTCCTTCAAGATGTTCAGACCTCACTTTAAGTGTCAGAGGAGGAACACAAGCTTCAATACAAACCTTGAAACATGAGAAAGCATTTTGCCCACAGCAGTTCACACACTCATCACAAATCACCTGAGTAGATACTGACATTGTCACTGTAAAACACAGGTTTTCCTTCCTGTGGATCAACGTACAGAATAGTGGACTACAGATGCAGTGCATGTGCAGCTAATGCAGTAAGTAAAGGGGCTGCCCTCCTATGTGGACGGGGGGTGGGGAAAGCTCTCTTCTCTCTCTCTCTCTCACACACACACACACCAACCTACCACAACACACACCACACACACACACACACTCCACAAAGCAAATATCACGATCATACACTGGAGCCCACCACAGGCGGATCATCTGGACCCTGCTCGGTCTGCTGATCAGCCGCAGCTCCCTCTCAGCCCCGTTCACACCAGATAACATGTGATGAGCAGGCAGCAGGCGCAGATGTGCCATACACTCACTTTATGCAGGGCTTCAGGAGGTAGCTGAGACGCCTTGAACAGCTCCGCCACTTTGCCGGACGACAGTTGTCCTGCAGTGTCAGCTTGGCACAGGCTGTGGAGACCTGAGTAATACCTCTGCTCATGTTCATTCAGGGAGATGAAACTCCCCGCAGACGCCGCACCGGATTCCGGATCCATTCCCTGGCGCATGGAGGATCCGCTGGAGGAGCGCTACAAGCAAACAGATCGATACATCCTGCTCCGGACACCGGCTCCTGTTTCCAGTCGGAAGCGGAGGGTTCTGTTGTTTTTTCAGCCAGGAGGAGGGTGGTATCACCTCCGACAAGAGTGTTCCTTGTGGGGAGAGACTGACTAGTCGGCTCAGGCTCATCCACTCCTACTGCCTATTATGGCTGATTGTAGCAGTACAAGCCTGAGCCTGCTGGGGGCGGTAGAGCGCAGGAAGAAGAGGGAGGCATTGTCTGTGAAATAAGGGGCTGCTTTGTCTTAGCAGCGCATAATAAAGCAAGAACTGTAATATTGATTTTTGTATTTTCCAGGGGATCATTTTCTGAAGATTATTATTCTTGAGTGTTTGATTGTGTTGTGTTTTATAATACAAGTTGGGAGGGGGGCTAAAATAAAATCCAGATCAGCTTCATCATACTAATAAATACAATTCTGTGTCTTGGTGGGAGCCCTTAAATCTGTGATTGACCCCAGGGAAACTGAGGATCCCACTTTGGAAGTCACTGTGTTCATTCACACGTGTTGTGGAGTATTCAGATCCTTTATTAAAGTAAAAGTTATTGTAGAAATACTCCATTTCAAGTAAAATCCTGCATTAAAACCCCCGCCGGAGGAGAGGGAACAGAGGTATTATACAGCAAAATGTACTTTAAGTAACAAAAGTCCTTCTGCAGAAGAGTTACCAAATTATCATTGTCATCATCATCATCATCAGTGCTACAGGACCTGTAGCTCCACTTGCAGCACTGAAACCAAACCAGTCAGTGTTCTAAAGTAGTTCTTACTAACTCATTCTAAAATATTTTTTGGACATTTCAGAAAAAATAATGCATGTTGCTCATCAAATAGTAGATGTTGTGAATAGCCTGAATTCAGTCTAGCTTTCTTAAATCCAGGGCCTGATGCCCCTCTACTGTAGTGCCTCTGCTGCCATCATCTGTTCAGGAAGATGTCTGCAGTCTGTGGTCTGCAGCAGAAGTAGTTGATGTAAATCAGCCTTTTGCAGAGCCCGAATCTGGGGCAATAAGGAGCTGTGAATGTTTTTTTTTCAAAAGCCCCAAATTCTCTACAATTTTAAAATGATTTGTGTAAAACAGCTTTGTGTCATTTCCCCCGGGTCTCTCTGACTGCACTGGAAAATCAATGGAGCAAAGGTTCTACAGTATTACTGGGAAACGTCACCATCTATTACAGTATTATTGTATGGATTCACACACACACACACACACACACACAGCTGAACATTCATTCTGTGAACTCTGCTCCAACATAGTTATAAAAAATAGGTTTCAAGATTAATAATGCTGTTTATGCCAGATTCCTACCCTACCTATGTTATGTAACTTTAACAAATAACTGCTGGACATTTTTTGTCTCTTTTTAGGTGGCAGGAACGAAAATTTGCTATTTTCAGCGTTTATTGTGTTCTTGTTTCAGAATGATGGAGACAGCTGGAGAACAATTTGATACACAATATGATGCAGGCCCTACAGGATGATTTGTTTCCCCTGGGCAACTATCTCATTCTATTGTCTCAACTAGCTTGAAAAATAGTGCATATAGCCGCCGTAAATGGGAAAAAAATCTCTGCTAAACCCCGAATGTTTACAATGTCTGCTCCGCCCCTGGGAGCAATCCAAGTGTAAGATTTACTAGTTTTCACACGATGAGATATCCCCAAAGTCCTATCAGAACTTTAGATTTTCCATTATGTTTCTCTACATAAGCGGAAGAGAAAACAGCAGAGCATGAAACAACATAGTGTTTTTATTTTATTCTTTACTGTAACCGACCATATAAAGAACGATAAAGCAGGACTTTGACGGGGAGCGGTTTAACTGGGTTTGTACTGTATTGTAAATCTCAGCAAGATGTTTTCATATTGTTTGCATGGGTGTTGTCTGTTTTATGGAAAAACACTTATGACATTTTATGGGAGCAAAAGATCGCTCATTGAAGGAGAAGTGCCCAGTTTAGTGTGGTCAGCCTGGGTTTTAAATGGTAGATACAATCTGCTATCACGAGAGAGAGACTTAAAAAGCAAACTTGGCAGGAGACTTTGGCTCAAGTGCCCTGTGTCAACTTAGTCTCTTATAAAAAGGCTCTGTCAGGCATCCAACACTACACATTGGTTGAACAATTAACCAAATTGCCGGCCTGATTCTCTGGGCAGAATGGATGATTAACCTTAAATATCTGTCTTTCTATAGTCTGTCAAAGCTTCCCTCCCCTTTGTCCAGTGAATGTCAGAACAGAGGAATCATGAATCAACACTGAGCATATGGAGCTTCCTGGATCTACTGTGGGAGATTTGGTTGAAATTATTCTCCTTTTTATTATGTACCTCATGTAATAAAGCCAGGTTAGGCCTGATAACCATGTTAGGAGAGACACAGAGTATGTACAGTACAACCTGTCGTGAAAATCAACACATTAAAGAAGGCAAAATAACTGGTTAGTCTGACATGTACTAGTGTTTTGCTCATTATCTGAATTTAGTGCATACCGTCAGCATCCTGTAACCTGTTTGCCCTCCAAGGAATGCAACTGCTGCTGATATCTTAACTAATGAGCAGATATGGTCAGATGCTTTACTCTTTTTCCTGTCAGATAGATTTGATACAATGGGCTGTGTTCTGTTTTCATGCCACAAAAAGAAGAAAAAATATTGCTACTTAATATAAAGGTGCCTGCCTGCCACCCCTGTGTGGCTAGGTCACACAGTGTGCTGTGCTGAGTAAACAGAAGCAGACTGAGCCGTTCTGTTTTTTTCTCTGTGAGGTCTGCCTCTCTCACATTAGCAAACCTATCTGGTTCCTTGGAAGCTTGAACAAACAGTATGGCACTTTCCCTGCAGCACACACTTTACAGTTTCCATGTTGTACAGTGAGGGAGGGCCGCCCGTCTGACAGCCATTTTTTAAGAAGAGGATTGTTTAGTTCAGGTGTGTCCCAGCTTAACCATTAAACCCAAGCTTTATCCAGTGACATTCCTCTGCTGACCTCCTTAAATCACTGCTCACTGGGACTGTCACAGCTTTTGCAGCATTTAAGTGTTTTGCTTCTTGTTCTCTGGGGAAATGTTGGAAAAGATCCTAATCCTGCTCTGTTTGTCATCTGCTTTGGCAGAACAGCCCTGTAAACCAGGTAAGTGACCAGGCTTAATACTTTAAAATGTCAAATTTATAGTTAGACATTTTGTATTCACATTTAATCCTACATTGTATTTCTACTTATATACTATCAGCAGTGAAGCAGCCGGTCTAGATGTAGTTCTCTGTTGCCTGTCGAGTGTGGAATGCAGCTTCTAATCTGAAACAAAGTCGGATTAGACACATAACTCAAATGTTTGCCTCATAACAATAGTCTCTATTTGACATCAACATTTATTCCAAAACACATGGTAGACTTTCTACAACTCTATGTGGTTATAACAGATGAAGCTTACATGAAATGATGATAAATTTCCATAACAGTGAATTTGAATATGTTTTATCTATATAGATGCTTCAGATGGCTACAAAGTTCGAATCAGCATCAAAACTGCTCTGGGGGATGAAGCTGTATGTATATATTTAATTATTTATCTGCCTGTACAAAACAATCAAAGCATCAGATCATAAATAAACTGTTTGAAGTGTTACTATGTTATATGCTGTTTTAATACTGTACATATTATTCATAATCAACTGATCATTATTGCATCAACTGTAGCTACTCTTATGAATGTTAATATGCTGAAAATTCAATCAAAAAAGTGTGTGTGACTACTTACTATGAGCACAAGGTCCATGTGGTGACCAATGAACCTTAAAGGCCTTCACTGAAAACGGCACACGATCTGTGGTTGTTATTGCAGTATGTTTGGAATGAAAATGAAATGTTCCTTTTCCGAGCAACTCTGGCCTTTGCCATGAGGAGTCACCTCAACGGCCAGGAATTTAAGTAAGAAAACTTTTATGTGTTTGATTTAAAAAACAAAACAATAAATAGTTCAAGAATACTTTTAAAAACAATAACTATAATATAATCTATTTTTACTATCACATAATGAAATTAGTGACTCACGTTTTACTGACGTGGTCTTTATTGTTTTCTAAAACTTCACCAGCGTGTCAAACATTATCGTATGTGATGAGACTCCCAGAGTGACCTTCTGGTTTGTGGTGACATCACCACTGAACACGTCTGGCTTGGTTGATAAAGGAGTTGTGGAAGAGGCTATAAGGTAATCACATGACACTGCAGCTATTCTTTAAATCCTCACATGGAAATATTTTTCCTTTGGCTATTCCACAAAGAGTTCACATTCAGCTCCAACATTTAGAGTCACTGATCCATTTATTTCTTTTGTTTGGTTTTGATACTTTATTCTGTTTGGTGGATTAGTGGCATTGTCGGGGATCGTTGTACTTTAAAGGTCCAGTGTGTAACACTTAGGAGGATCTATTGGCAGTAATGTGTATAATCACATGAATAAAGAATTGTTGTTTTGGTTACCTTAGAATGAACCATTTTTATCTACAGATGATGCAGGTCATGTTGAACTGCCATGCACTCTAGTTTTCTCCTACACACTTCAGACTGTTTTCATTCCCAGGTTGTTAAATACAGACACCAGTGGTGTTCAGTTAGTTGTAATCTGACACTTGCACAATCTGCACACTGGTCCTTTAAGTGCAACCATATTGATCATACAATATTTTTTTAGAGAATAATTATCAGTTCCAAAAATAAAATTCCTTGATTTGACGCTGTGCAGTGCTATGGGATGTTACCCTGGTCAGCTGGTTTAAGTGAGACTATGTAACTTGACAATTTAGTAACAATTGTGGGATAACGTTAAAACACAGTGTAGCCTAACAGTAGTAAAATTAGAGACACAAACTAAGTCAGCTACACAACAATATCCTCTCTAAAGTATGCTAATATTAGCAAACGTTAGTCACCACAAACTACTGGTCAACAGACCAAGTGAAAAACAGCTGAGTAAAGTACATCAAGCTGGTGTGCATTGTATTGCTTGTCAATTCATGAGTTATTTTACTACATCAACTAAAATTAGCAACATTAGCTAAAATTAGCCACCATACTGTATAAGCTCCTACCAGAACAAGCAACACTGGCAAAGCAGCAGAACTATACTGTATTAAGCAAGAGTGTCGTCTATTGTTTTGCTTATGAATTCAACTACTGAAAGGTGCGTTGTATTGTGAATTAGACTTTTAATGAATTTTAAGAAAGACAAAATTGTTATTTTTTTCCTTCAGAAGTCACAGTCTCACGTAAGAGAGTGGCAAGTTACTACACCTGCAGCTCAAAGCTAAATCTCAACATTAAATAGTTCAACTGACCATACCCAGCACATTTTTATTAAAACGTGTAACACTTTATGTACCATCTTACATATGGAGGGGTCCTATGAATCAACTAATCTGCTGTACATGAGTTTTGTAGTTCCTGAAACCAAAGTAGAATTGGGGGCAGTGAAAGTACATAAGGAAAAGCCCACTGCTGTAATGCAGGCTTTGTAATAGTATTGGAGATTTGAGTGAATGGAGTGCTGTGCTATAAAGCGGCAATCAGACGTTATGCAGGTCAATCTTTGTTGCAACCCTCACCTGCTTCCCCTTGTCTGGGGATGACAGATTCATGTGGCAGAGATGAAGTTTTTCCTCAGGCCTCACTGTAGGTGATTAAGAATCTCAGAAGCGGACGAGTGCATTGAGACACGCCTCCTTTGCACTGTTAATTGTGTGGATTCTTCCTGGCCTCGTACCTTTGGAGATTTTCCAGGTTTTTTTTCCACTGGGAGGAGAGCCTGAGGTAGACCTAAGATATTGAGGAGTCAGTGCATCTTCCAGGATTTCATCAGTTTAAGCATCAGTGGCACACTGTTGCATCAATACAATGCAGCAAAATGTGACACACAACAGACACATGTTGGGCTGAGAATTGTCAGTATTTTAATGATTACATTCATTTAAATCTTAATGTTTTATTTTTCCAATAGAAAGTCCAGAAATCGCATCAACAGTGCCTTTCTGCTAACTGATAAAACTCTTGAGTTTATCGGCATCACCCCCACCCTGGCAGCACCAGTCAACCCTGACACCCCTCCATGGCTCATTGTGTTTGGGGTGGTCATGGGTGCTGTGGGTGCTGGCATCATTGTTGTGCTGGTGTCCCCTCTGGTCCTAAAGAAATGGTAAGCAGGTGACCGGAGGTGCATTATGTATAATTTTGTAAATGTGATTACTGAACTTTGACAGTCATGTTTCTGGCTTCTTATTGTAGCAAAAAGAACGAGGAAACGGACAAGGATGAAGAAGAGACACGGGTGAAAGCAGTGGAAAATGGCTCTACAAGAGAGGGGGTTTACAACATGTCATTCTCAGATGATGAGCGACTCACACAGATGTAAAACACGTCTATAAAAACTCTTCCGTGTACGCAAAAAGATGGGGGAAAGGTTATTAAGCTGCTCTAGGTGGACTTTTGTTGCACTGTAATATTAAATCTGCAAAATCATTGTCTAAGTTGTAGTTTATTGTACAATTTGTCATTGAAAGGATTTAATACATGTTCATGATTTTCTTTGATTAGATTTTTTTCTTTCGGAGATTTCACTGCTGAATATTTCTATACTGTCATTACCTGCTGACTCAAAAAGAAACAAGCACCTGCAAATTTTTAACGTCAGTATTTCCTTTTTCCAAATAAATGTATATATTATCTGTTGATATATGATTAATACAATTAAAGATCTTTGTGTAAGAGGGTATGTGTGTGGATATAATGTGTATATGTGTAGTTTTCAAATGGGGAACAATTGCAAGGCCACACACAAGTTGCTTACTATATTTAACCTGCATTTTTGTTTTATTTCAAAGTTATCAAATCAAATCAAATCGAGGGCCCAGAGGGGATGTCTGCTGCTAGATGCTAATTGTCTGCTGCTGCATTGCTTGCTGCCACCCTCTTTCATTTTCCAGACTACAGAATCACAGTGGAAAGCCCCCTGAAGTCAGCAGTAGCTACAGTGTTGTAGCAGTGTGCCTAAATTAAATCCTAAGTGGCAAAATGCAATTATTGTTTAAATGAGCAGTGCTCAAGCTCATTAGCATGATGGCTGGATACATTTATGAGTTGTTATGTCAGAGCAGCACAGCATACTGGTACGCAGAGATTTGTGTTATCAGTATATGAAATTTGGTACTTTGTTGGCCTTTATTGGTCCGGATGAAGGTCTGATTTGATGGTGACATGTATGGGGAATTTTCGTATAATTGTGTATCAAAATGCTCAAGAAAACTCTGTACTCAGTATTGGTATAAAGTTTCAAGATTATATCCAAACTGTGGTCTGTTTTAAATGTGATGTTTGACTATATTGCCTCCTGCAGGGCATTTTGAATAAGGGCATAAAATGCTCACTATTATGTCCTTTACGTCCCCCATGTCTCTGCTTTGGTTAGGTTAGATCTTGTTTCATAGAGTCCCTCTAAAGGTAATTTATCCTGTAAATCACTATCTATGGATGTTACAGTAAAAAAAGCTTCTTGTGTCTCTCTGTGAGCTTCAGTCCAGCGTTACGCAACCTTTTTGGCTTGTGACCCCTTAAAATGAAACCATGCTGACTTGCAACCCCATGTCTTTGCAATTGTCTGATGGTTGTGACCAATTCAGTTGTCAACATATGACAGATTTAACATAACTAATTACATTACTGTAGTTCTGTTTTCAGAAAAGATTAATTAGGATGAATAAAATAAAGGTAGGAGCTAGAGTAGGCTAACAGATATTGCGCTCTCTGAAGATATAATGTTCACTCCCGTTGTTCAATTTTGGTTCTACGTGAAAATGATTATTCTGCTATGGTTTTAATTAGAGTACACCATTTAAAATTCTTTGTGCACTGTGAGTTATACCAATTCAATAATGTCATATTATTTTGAAATAATTTGTGTAAAGTCCCTAAATAACACTTTCTGCAGCTCCCAGTTTCTTACTGCATCAGTGGGTCCCAACCTAAAGGGTCAGAGATGATTACAGGATAGAAGAGCAAGAAACATGTTTCTGCTTCACAAAACTATGTTTATTTCTCATTTCTTTCTTCTAAGCGCTGTTTTTTCTTTTCTCGCCCCCATAATTTTTGTACAGTCCCTTAGCTCCCTTTGAAGTCTCAAACTGGATGTGAGCCATAAACAGTGACAGTGTCCCACAGCAGCAAGAATCTGCCCTAATAAATTTATTTTTTTAAATCTAAATGAATGAAACCAGCCATTCGCCTTTATAAACTGAACTATGACCTGTATCTAGCTGAATCTATTTTCTGTTGTGTTCTTTGTGCCAATATTTGCAGCTGCTGTGTTGCGATATTGCAATTCACTGCTTGGGCGACGCAAAGAAGCAATCCATCTGCTTAACTTTAGGTGGCACCATTGCACTGTCAATTGCTGCTGCCTGGCCAGACACTGCTGTCTTTCTACTTCACAGCACTCTTCTTGGCACTCTTTAAAGTGTGTGTAAATGGCAATATGACTTTTAAACATTTCAATTTCAAACATATTTTAATTCATTGTTATTCTATTTTTGTCTAACTGTTTTTGAAGTGGTAATACAGAAAGTCTTTCTCATTCTAACTTGTCTATATTTAGTTCATTGTTAAATTAAATCTGTTCCTGATCTCTAGGTGACGATATGTCTCGTGTCTTAATCATTTGTACGATGATATTTCTGTCGCAGTTGGTGTTATTCCAGAAGATACCCACTGTGTGCTGACAATATGCAGCGTGTTAATGACTAGTTATCATTTGGCACATCATGTAATATCCCACTCCTTTTCCTCGGCATTTCATTCTGTTGCCTGAGGAGTCAAGCCTTTTTTACACCTCATTTTTCTTGTCAGGACTCCAAAGATTTTCTGTCACATTTAGTTTGAAAGCATAGCAATGTTGTTAGAGGGGTAGCCGATTAAGGCCTAAATTCCCACTGTAGAGAAAGATAGAGAGCGGGAATAATTGCAGAGAGTCAAATACGTTTTTATCATATTATTGAAAATAATGTCATTATTTTAATAACTAACCCGGATAACTTCTGAAAAATAAGCGAGCTTTGAAATAGCTACAGAAATGAGTCATTGTCAAATGACAGATTGCCTGAATAACATTACACATCTTGAAATAATCATTATTTTGCTGCTGCCTCTGTGTTCTGGACTCATCACAAGAACAATGCCGGTGTGTACAGCCTCACATAATGGCTTTTGCCTAATTTTGTCTCTTTAAAACATGGGAGATAAACAAGCCTTTGGAGATAATTCTGGACGAGCAGACGCAAACACAAATGCAAACACAATTGTGAATTATAAATAATCTTGTGTGGGTGAAATTATGGGGAACATTGTATATTGTAAGTCTGCAACAGTTTAATAACTGACAATCAGATGCTTAATTTCCTGTGTGGATCCCATTAAAGACCCCCCTCCCAAAAGACTGTCCACTCTTGAAAGCAGAAGTTGATATTTATCTACATATGGACATTATTTACTGTACTTTCACAACATCTTTGACAGTGACAATCTAATAATTTCTAGCTGTGTGCAAATTGCATAGTGAGCAGGTTCTACTACCGTAATGGTGACTACTCGCCGGAGTTTAACTCTCTCTACAGAGCTACAGAATACAAATGTATACACTCATCGGAGGGGCTCTGTGAGCACGTGGCAGTGTGAGCCTACATTGCTGTACGCTTGTGTGGTTGGAAAACTTTCCAATTCAAATGCAAATGTCTCATTCAAATTCCAAAGAATCCTAGTGAGCGTGCCCCTATTAAACTATCAATATTAAATATCACAATTCTGGTCAATATTTGATGAGGCCTATTTTCTAACAATGCAGCTTTCAGGGCTCAGAATCAATATTTCAAAAAAGTTAATTTTTTATAACTTTAGCTTTCAAAGCCCAAGTGCATTATTCATATCAGTTACAAGAGCAGTGTGAAAAGTGACAAATTCCATATGCATTTCATAAACATAGGCGAGGTGAAAACTATAACACTGTGCACTGATTCCACCACAAATCTGGACTATACTGTCAGCCTCCTGGATTTTTCCTAGCAGGGGAGGAAACAAGATGATTTCTGTCAGGGGCTGTGTATTTTTCCACCCCTGCTGTGTTTAAAATCCATCACCGTCATGTGAGTTTTCCTCTCTAACTTCCTTCATTGCAGTCTAGAAATCCCATCTCTGCTGTTCTTTTTCTTTGTCCTCCTTTTGTTTATGAGTCTCATCGAGAGTAGCCTCTTCAGTCTCCCCTCCATCGGCCACTCGTGTCTCTCCTCCCTCTGCTTTCTTCTCCTTTTCCCTCTCTCTGATGATCTCCACCAGCCTCTGAAACTTCTGGTTTAACTCCTCCATCCCTCCCACCACCCGCCCGTCGTCCTTCTCTCCATCGCTCTCCAGTGAGCTCAGTGACTCAGCCCTTGAATCACGGCCCTCGAACTCATAAGTCTGCAGTGAGTCATAGGGCGGCTGTGACAGGTCAAAGGTGACCTGATCCAGACGGATATTCAGGAGGTCTTCCATGCGGAGAGGCTGCGGGTTGGAGGCTTCAGGTCTAACAGGCTCCGCCCCGCTTGCCAACCAGCCTCCGTTGTTACCAAACATCCCCCCAGGTAAGGGCAGTGGCTGTGGGGTCAAATCCTTTCTCTGGAGTCTGCACATGTTCAGTAGCTGCACTCCCGCTGGGTACAACCCGCTGCCGTTGGTCCCGTTCATACACGTCCCTCTGCTGTTTGGATTCAGCGAGCCCACAATGCTGTATGTGTCTCCTGGCAGGTAAACAGCAGGGTTCACAGAGGTGATCTGACTGCCATTTGAATAATTTTGCTCTGAAATGGAGCGAATGGAGGAATCAGTATCAATGTCATCTAACGTGCAGCTGGTGGCTCCAGTGCTGATCTGAGTCTGCGATGACCCCGGTCGCCCCTCTTGCTGGTTTGACAAGGAGCTGGTGAGACTTTGGAAGGAAGACTCATTTGGGTCACAGTGATTTGCAGCGTTGCTGGCTGGTGTCGACTCCGTTTCTGCGTTTATCTGAAAAAGAGAAGAAGAAGGGAAATATAAGATGATTCAGACACATTTGCAGGGATAATCATATGGAAGCAAAAAAAGGCCATAATGATTCAAATCTTTCAATCAACTTAAAAATTGCTAATAAAAATGAATGTGGTTTATGTGGTTTGAATGAGATAATTTCAAGTTTCGCAACTGCAAAAACTTTTTTTAAGAGGTTGACAAAACCTTCAGGTACAAAATTCGAATTCGCTTATATGAATTTCTTTTTCTTGCATCAGGCAACTGACAGAACTTGAACCTGACTGGACAGAGGTCTGATCGATTCCATTCCGACTCTTTTCTGTATCCTCGGTAGACAAGGCGGATGTTTAAGTGAATAATTCATTTAGAATTTTGGTGTCTGAATTTTAAAAAAGCCCCCAACCCAATACACAAGCTGCAGTGTCTGAATCAATTCTGAGCAACCAGATTTGAACTTAAATATAGCTTTTTGAATATTGGACACTTTAACTATCTGTCAAACTTGTCTCTTAATTTGTGAAAAAAACAAAACAAACAAACAACATTAAGTCATTATCCTGTAATCAAATTTTTAACATCCCACCGCTTAAAATTACTGTCAGACTTTCTTCAACCGGCTACTTACTATGAGTGATGGGATCCTAAAAGAGCTCTTATTTTCTTCCATTTTGTCATTTTG